ACTATCGGAGTAGTCACTCGACATACCTGGTGGTGCTCTTGAAGAAGTTGTTGCTCTCGCGATTCATGAGCTCGCTGCGGAACCGCGACATCTCGTCCTCCATCTTCCTCATCTCAGCGTCGAAGCGCTCGCGTATGTTGGAGAACTCGGTGTCGATCACGCTGAAGTCACCGAGTTTGATGGGAATGTTGCGCTTGATACCACTGTCGGCCATGTTTTTTTTTCGCTCAGGCAGCACTTATGTGTCTCTTGTCACTGTAATCACTCGACGAGGACTCGCGCCGCGTCAGATACGATTCGATCGCGAATATGGATAACCGGTACTTGAATACTCTTTAACTCGGCACGTGTCACGTCCCGTGTCTCGTTCCTGTCTGAGGAATGAGCGCGGCTCGCCGGCGGCCGTTTAAATACCCGGCGACGCCGGCGAGGCCGCTTGTAGGTGTTCGGCTGCGCTCGGCCGCGCTCGGCTGACTTCGTCACCACGCGCACGCGGCCGCTCGGCGCTCGCGGCTCGGTCGGTTGTGAAACAACGCGGGTCAACGCGGCCGCGCCGGGCGGACGCTCGCGAGATTGACATGCACGATGACGGCTGACGGCCCTTAATTTAATTAGACGTTAATCGCCAAATAGCAGGAGCGTCGTTAGCGAAAAGATGACGGACATGAAATAGCGAAGCGTCCGTCGCCGCCTACTTCCTGCGCGGATCGATTTACTGTTTACGGACGCCGCTACTTTTTATACAAATTTAACGTACTTTTTCACGATGGAACTCTAATAGCACACTTTATTCGTTCTGCCGAATTTTAAGATATTTACTCGATGTATTCATGGTCGTTTATGTGAGTATATCGGTATATTAATGATAGATCCACTCTGATATTTTTTTTAAGAAGAGAAAAAACGGTGAAAAACGTTCTAAATGTTGATACTTTCAGTAAACTAGACCTGACGACTGATAAATTTAAGAGAATTGACTTCCTTCCCGTCGAGAAAATTCTCATTGAGGCCAGTGTTTTGATTTTCTGATACCCTGAGGGTGGACTTATTTTCGTATTACAACAAATAATACGTCACTCGAAAATGTGGTCTTGCTCTTAGAATTTGTTCATATAAAGACCGCGCGTAGGCGAGAACGGCACAAAACGAATCATCATTGTCCGCGCAACACAGCATGACTAATAAACTCGTGCAATCGTTTCCTTATAAACGACCCCCGCGAAAGAACAATCTCGTAAATTCCACGAGTCTCGAGAGAATTATTCGTATCTATTTATGGTTGATATAAGAAGGATGGAAATAAAGTGATCACAATGTGTGTAAAAATAAGTTTTCATTTTATGTAGTGGTTCCTAGTTCCTACAATTCTTCCAACAAAATTTTTAATATTTAAGACTTTTAAATTTCGTTTTAAAACACTGTCGTAAACGAGAATGAAGGTTCGTGTTAGTAAACATAAACTGAAAACAAAAGGAGTCGAGATGATGTAAGAGCCTTTGACGATTAGATGCAACGGCGAATACAATTTTTACGGTGCTGATCGTTTAATTAGACCGAATTAAAAGGTCTCTTTGAGGTCTCAATAACTCATTGGATGATCGACAAGACATCATTTAACGAGGTGATCCATCCATGAAGATTGTAATCGTCACCAATAAAATTTTAATTGAAAGATATTAACCTAATTTAGAAGACGGAGATCTATTTTTTAATTTTACAGCTTTTCTTTAAGTAAAATTTATAATTTATATTTCATTATATTTTTCTTCCTCCAAAGTATGATACTGTTTCAGCCATTATAATGACTTTCCTGTATATAAAAAGAACGATTTTGTTAAAGTATCTAAAAATTTAGCTAAATATAGATATGAAAATAAATTTTGTTGGGCTATTAAAACAATTATGTGAAACGCTCAAGCTACTTGCTGGAATGTCAAAACTTTTTGCAGTATTGCTCATCGTGTTTGAGCTTTTTACATGATTATTTTGATAGTCTAACAAAATTATTTTCAAATCTTTATCTATATATAGCCAAATTTTTAAATATTTCAGTAAAACCGTTCTTTCCTGTAAAGATTAAAATAATTTTACATTTTTGACGTTAAAACTTTCCCGAGAGCGTTAAAATTTTTAAGTAAAATTATATGACGGTTTATCTGACTGTCATCTTCAAAATCGTGAATCAAATTGATGAAACTGCGATCAGTATATAGAAGATATGGATTCTTAACATCAACAATGGCCGATTGGAAATTCTTCCCGCATTGCGTCCATCGAAAATTGGCAATCGCTCCGAGACGCGTCATCTAGTCGGGAATGTTAAAAAAGACTGTATGCGTCGTCACGAGAGAATTCTTTTACGGTATTGAAACCGAGTCTCGCGATGAGTGACGCCGACGCTATTTCGGCGCCTCCGTCACGAACTGCGTTCTCGCGTCTGAATGGAACGGCAACGTCACTATACGCCTCCGTATTCGTCCATACACAACACATTCGACATATACAGTCCTTAACCGGCCTCCACATACGCTCGTGTGAATTAGAACATCGCCGAAAAGTCTTCTCACGTCGAACTAAGTAATTGAATCAAAGGAAGGAACGGTTGCACAGATACTGATTTTTGAGCTGAAGGAAACTTGAGATTTTACAATGAAAATAAAATGTATCAATAAATATATACTACTTGAAAATATTACAAAGCGGCCAATGACGTTCTTCGAAGAAATGTAGCTCACGATGAAATTTTTAGACTGAATTTCTTCATCTGCCCTAGAAATTCGAAGCAACGTCGCTAAACTGTTAAACACGTTTCTCTCACCGCGAAGATGATTTTCGTCTCGAGCCCACACAAGGACTTAATAAGGGCTTCTTTGAGTATCTCACGTATCCAGTAATAAAAGAGAGGAATAAAAGATGCTGATCACGACTAACGAGATCATCGAGGTTGATGTTAAAGTGTGTCAATGTCGTCGCTCTTGTATCTCCAGGTGAGATTCTTTACGAGGCGACGGACTTCCTCTCTCATTTTTAAAACGTCGACGAAAGCAGACAGTTGCCATCGATGTGAGAGAAAAGGAAACCTGACTGGTGTGACGTCACCTCCATGAGACTTATGCCGATCGATAAAAGGCGTCACAGGTTCCTAATATGGATCGAAGATAAGGCTGTCGTGCATAATAACCTTCTCGCTCGATCCTTCCCATAATTGCGCAAGATTTCGTTACGGAGAACGTCATGATACGTCTTTAAGACGTCTTACAGTTAATAACGTCATTGTTTTAATTAATAACGAATTCAGTTGAACGTACACTGAAAGAAAAGATTTGCTGAATATAGCATAGCATTTTTAACTGACATTGCGGATAAATTCTATACTGACGTTGCAGTCAATTAAAAATGCTATGCAATCTAATTTGCTGCAGCAGCCAATTTTTTCTTTCAGTGTAAAAATGCGCATTAATGTATATTAAAGTCGTACATCGATTTAATTTTTTATGTAAAAGTATGAGTAATTATAAGTAATGATGTATCGTTTTATCCTACTTCGATATTCGGTAAACAACAAGGAAAAAATGATATATTATGCGTATCATGCATGAAACGGAGTACACTCGCAGTCGCGATGTGTACATCCTATTTTGGTTCACATATTTATTATTATAGGACGAAAATGTTACAAGTGATCGATCAATTCGTTGTCGTATCCTCGACATTGAATTACGAGAAGGGGTGATCGACGGTCGAAGGAATCGAATGGTCGGCGAATGCCTTCGAACGAATCTGGCTTCGGATTCTATGCCCGTCTCGGATTTTGTCAGCTAATAATAGCCCGGTGGAGCGCATACCGTTGAGCTACTATCTTTTCGGCGACGTCAGTTTGCTTGTTTTCCTCGTCTACGTACCGAGCTATGAATAATTGTCCAATCTCTTGCAGGCCGACGTCGGGAAACACGAGATACATAATGAAGAAACGACGCGGATATCACGAATTATTGAGAATTTTTGTTAAAACGTTGGGCATTCAAGAGTATGTATATGAAAAGTACGATTTTGCTGAAGTTAAATCTAAAAATTTATAGCTAGATATATTTTGCTAAATTTAAAGATACACTATTTTGTTAAATTTTTAGATATAGATCTTTGAAAATATAATTTTGTTGGATTATTAAAATAATTATGTAGAACTCTCAATTCTTGGTTATTTGAATGTGTCAAAACTTTTTACGTTAGTCATCACGCTTGAATTTTCTACAGAATTATTTTGATGGTCTAACAAAATTATTTTCAGATTTGTAAAACTTTCTGAAACTTTTAGAGTGATTCTCACTCCAAAGAGTGAGTTTAGAGTGAAATCTCAAGGTGGGATCACAGTCTTGCATAACGTATAATGCATAAGGCATAAATGCATAATGAGTTTTCTACAATAAGCTATTACCTAAGCTTTATGTCCTAAGCCATAAGAAATTGACTGATCATAGTCGATTATTCTAGACATTCGACTGTGATTGATCAATTTTTTACGGCTTAAAGACATAAACTTAGATAATCGCTTATTATAGAAAGCCTATAAGAAAATGAACCAATTAAAGTCCTTCATTACTTTCCTTTTCATAAAATAAAAGACTGATTGGTTGAGTTTCTTACGTTTTTTGCATTCTACATTATGCAAAGATCTGTGCTCTGGACTTCACGCTTAAAGATTAAAAATTGAGTTACTCTTTTTCAAAAATTTTCACTCTTCAGAGTGAAGTTCGACTCCAAAGAATTTAAAGAGTAATCTAACTTAAATTTTTAGATATATTTCAGCAAAATCGTTCTTTCCGTGCACAAATTCCATTCTTTTTAATGCAAGCCTCTGCAAGGACGTGAATGCAATATGTATGTTAGCACGAAATTGCATAAGACAACCTTATCGTTAATGAAACGAATTGTTGGACGACATGCGCATAGCGATCGTATTGCCATTCCGCAGTTTCTTATCTAACGCTGATCAATCATCAAGTCTATAAATTAACATGGTCAATTATCCAATGTCACCGCCGTGAATAAACTCACACGTAACGCGGTGACAGGTAATCGCGAATAAAGAGTTGTATAATTATAAGCGCTCTCTCGCATTAAATAATTCTCACAAATTCCCACGAAGTTACTCTCGTCATTCATTTCTGCAATATATAATTTAACATTTTTTTCTTTTGTAATGGCTGGATAAATATACATGTATTAATAAATGAAAGATATATACGTACATATAATATATATTTTTATATATTTTATAATTTTGATATAACTATGTGTATTTCTAAATATTTTCTATTTGTATAATAATATAATTTATTTATTTCGTGCTCGCGTATATAATAATGTGTTTTATTAAATCATGTTTAAAAAATGCGTATTCTAAATTTTTAAACACTTATTTTTAGAACACATACTGAGAACAAAACGTTTCGAATAAAACCTGATATTTTCGTCTTCTTTTTTCAGATCATTTTTACCATCCGTTTTGATTGCTTTTTATTCCAGTTACAACATTTGCCGCGAGAGGCGTAAGCGTACAGCTGATTTTTCACCTGAAATCTGAAATTGATCACCAAGATTGGGAAACACGTGGTTACATCGTTACGTTACATGTGCTACGTCAACCAACATCGATCATGAGGAACAATGCGAGGAATGTGAAAGATAAAGGTCGAACTGAGAAAGGTGACATTGAAAATAAGCATCGGGAGAAGAAATTCGACAAAAAGAAGTACAGATTACAGAAGTATAGCAACAAGTATAAAAGTATGTGTACGATGTACGCCACAAATAGGTTAAGTTTATTGTTTATTTAAAATTTGCTTTCTTGTACTAGTTAATCAATGGGAAGAGAGGAGGAAGAAGGCTGTGTTACGCGAATATTATAAAGAACTCAAGAAGGATCAGCAGAATTCCACGGGAACGTCGTCAAATTTAAGTAATACATCCAAAAATGCGAATGAGACTAGGTATGTAAAGTACTTGGAATCTATTCAGAATCTACAACTTGAAATCTAATATTGATCAATTTATTTACGTATGTAAACAGCCAATTGAAGAAGAGCAATGCTTTTTTCAAAGCTAAGCGAGAATATCAGCGAAAGCAGGAAGAAAAAAAGAGCAGGCTAGAGAATGCTGTTCGTATAAAGGCAGAACGAGAGGAAGCCCTGAAGAAGTATAGAGAGAAGAAATTACAAAATTACAAGGTGTTATCGAAGAAGACGAAGAAGGGACAGCCTGTTATGAAGGGCAGGATAGAAATGTTGCTGGAAAAAATACAGCAAATAACGTAATGTACAATCGTCTCTTTATCTTCGATTAGACTGATCCAGGATATGGTCAAAGTCTCACTACAAATTCTTTGAAGCTTTTGACCAATTAAAGATTATTTCGAAACATTTGTAGCATCATGTTGACTGTACTCCTAAACACACCGTTGCACAATGGAGCATTATAGAAATAGTAAAATGTTTTCAATTTGTATATGATGTATATTGTATGTTACACAATGTAATATGTATAGGATGTTCCAACAGTGACACATTTTCTTCAAATTTCATTAAATTTTTGTCACACGAGATTGCTTCCATATATTTGTAGTATTATCTTTTATATAACTATATCATTTGTAAACTAGAGAGTGACAATTTCGTGTGCAATTACTCATTAAATTATAACGGAGGGAATAGGAATGAGGTAAAATAAATAGAATTATTAAAAAATTATTTAATTCCTTGCTTTATTTAATTCTCTCAAAATAACATCATTTGCTGATGAAACAATACTTTTACATTTTTTACAAAATAAGTTGCAATTCCGAATTAAATATATTTGAAGTGAAAAAGTATTCATTTAATTCATAATTGATTTTTATATATCTTTATTCTTACAATAAGCTATTACCTAAGCTTAAGTCGTAAGAAATTGCTCAGTCAGTCAAATGTGAGAAGAATAATCAACTATAGTTGATCAATTTCTTATCATTAAAAATTTAAAGATTAGGTAATGGCTTGTCGTAGAAAACTCATGAGACCATCTTAAGATGTCATAAGAAGAGAATAGGACCTTAAGACGGTCTTAAAATAAGAATCAACAATGAATATCGGTCTACGGTTTTGGTCAAATCAATCGATTATTCCCATCGATGCGGCGACCCTTCGCATTCAATCCCGAGGCCACGGACGAAGCGAAGAAACTGGAAGAGACCGTGGGCTTGAACCGACGTGCCCTTTCGCGGCGATCAATCGCGGGTGACCGCCTCGGCGGTTCGAAATACGAAATTCCACGCGCCAGCATGGATCGCGCGTGCGCGCTGGCATTTTGACGAGCGGCCGTCGCTCGTCGTCGGACGACGCGACACGGGCTAGTCGACGGTTGCAAATGGCGACAGCCACGAAGTGAGTCTCTGGCACGGGCTCGCGACTAGTTCCACGCCTACCGTGCGCCCCGCGAGCGAGAGCGAGCCGTGCGCCGAACGCAGCCCCAGCGCCCAGAGATCGGTACGTAGCCTAAGTGAACCCGGCGACGTCCAGCGACTCGCGGCACTCGCGGCACTCGCGGCTCCCCCCCCTCCCCCCCGGCTGCGGCGAGGACTCGCAGCGACTCGCGGCCAACTCGCGGCGCCCTTGGAACTTGGAATCCTGGCGGATCCTCCGCGCGCACGACAGCTCTCGCTCGACGAAGGTACCGTCTTCGTATCGTCTCTTCTTCCTCCGAGATTCTTCTCCCCTTCTTCGATCGATACGTCGTCGTGAGATCGTCTGCCTTCCCGGATCCGTCCCCCGTCGATTTCGACGGTCGCGTACGTGTCCTCTCCCCCCTTCCCATCTCTTCCCCTCGCTAGCCGGGACGGATCTCCGGGTGCCGCATCGCTGTCAAGAATCACCGTCGGTATTCGCGGTGCGGAGTACTGCAGAGCCGCGTCGCCGGCTCCGATCACTCGACGAATTTAATAATCGTGAATACGACGATCGCGTCTCTTCCGAGCGGCTCCGACGGCTGAACTTTATATTCCGGAGCTCCGCTCGACGCCACGTATATACGAGATACTCCGTTTCCCCGATTAGCACGCTCAGAGAGAGAGAGAGAGAGAGAGAGAGAGAGAGAGAGAGAGAGAGAGAGAAAGAGAGTGAGTGAGTGAGAGAAGAAGGAGAAATTAGTTTTGCGATTGTAAAAGACGGCACGTATAGGAGCGCGCGGCGATAGGAGCGATCGCGGCCGTCCCGTCGTTGCGTCACGTCGTTTTCAGTGAGCGAAACAAATACCAATTACAGTATATCTGCGTCGGAGCTGGTCGGAGCGCGATCTCTAAGCGTCTCAGATTGGAGGGGAATGAACGTCCGAGTGTCCTCACATAGCTCTCGCTCTCATTCACAGGTAGTCTTGAGCAGAACGAGGCAAGATGCCGGCCGTCAGAGGAGATGGTATGCGTGGATTGGCGGTATTCATATCGGACATCAGGAATTGTAAGTAACCGTCACCGTGTGACAGTGTTCTATATTTTTCCATCAATAATACTCGTACTTCACATTTAATTGCTGAATTATATAATGTGATTGTCGGCATTGTAAATCATTCCCAATTGTTGCTATTCTTCCTTCAAATACCGCTAATCTTGTATTTGATGCTATTAATGACATTTCATTCCTCGAGTGATAATGTGCCATTGAAACTGAAATTGTATGTGACGTGTTTAACATTGTGAGGAGCAGGAGAAAGGGGGCGGTTCTGATATAGGCCTATCTTCTTGTGATATAGCTTGACTCTCAATATCAATCTACCACACATTAGCTAAACGTTTATTAAAAACGAACGCTGGTCTTCTTAAGATATTTATAGAAGGCACAATTGTATAGTGTTTTACGTATCATTATGCATATTATTTATTTATATAACTATCCACGTTTCTGAGCTAAAAAGATTGCTCTTGATAAGTCATTTGGCAATTGTCATTATTTTTCATATCGAGTATTTCTACTGATGTATTATTTTTGATCGATATTTACAATAAAAAATCCTTGCATATTTTTAGCCGAAATATAAATGAGGATATTACAACAGAAAAGTTTTATTCTAATACATACTTTATTTTCTTGTCACAAACGTATCTTATTATTGTATTATATAAGATATATTTGTGTGTAAAGGATGATACGTACACTTGCGCAGTCTTTTCTTTTTTAAAACATACTAATATTACTAGGCAAAAGTAAAGAGGCAGAAATTAAGAGAATTAACAAGGAACTAGCAAACATACGCAGCAAGTTTAAAGGAGACAAAACACTCGATGGATATCAGAAAAAGAAATATGTTTGCAAGCTGTTATTCATTTTCCTTCTTGGCCATGATATCGACTTTGGACATATGGAAGCTGTCAATCTACTTTCATCAAATAAATATTCAGAGAAACAAATTGTAAGTAAGACAATCGGTCTAGCAATCTGCAATATGCACAATAATGTAGTGGATGATGTTACTGTCTAACTTATATAATTCTAGGGATATCTTTTCATATCGGTCCTAGTGAACACTAATAGTGATCTGATTAAGTTAATCATACAAAGTATAAAAAATGATCTCGCCTCACGCAATCCAATTCATGTTAATTTGGCGCTGCAATGCATCGCCAATATCGGTAGTAAGGAAATGGCGGAAGCCTTCGGCAATGAAATTCCAAAATTGCTTGTCTCAGGGTACGACATATTGTATTTGTTGCTTTATATAGCCATGCCGATAGCTTGTATCAGATATTCGTAGAGTTTTCGAATATTTGTTCTATAGAGATACCATGGACGTTGTGAAACAAAGTGCTGCACTGTGTCTACTACGACTATTGCGGACAGCTCCCGATGTCGTACCAGGCGGTGAATGGACGTCGCGTATAGTTCATCTGTTGAACGACCAACATCTGGGCGTTGTAACAGCCGCAGCATCACTCATAGACGCTCTCGTAAAAAGAAATCCCGACGAATACAAAGGCTGCGTTAGTCTTGCAGTTTCGAGATTAAGTAGAGTACGTTACTGAAGTAAAAATTTATCGTACGATAATAAGAATATTATTTAACATTTTTTTCTGCGATTTTGTAGATTGTTACGTCGAGTTATACAGATCTGCAAGATTATACGTATTATTTTGTACCAGCCCCATGGTTATCTGTCAAGTTATTACGTCTGCTGCAGAACTATACACCACCAGGTATTTAATTCCACAATGCATGGAGTACATTGTATGTAGAAATACAATACGTTGTAGGATATATTTATACGGAATTTATATTTCTGCAGCCGAAGATCCAGGTGTGAGAGGCAGATTAAACGAATGTCTAGAAACAATATTAAACAAAGCTCAAGAACCACCCAAGTCGAAGAAGGTCCAGCACTCAAACGCGAAAAATGCTGTACTCTTTGAAGCCATTAGTTTAATTATTCACAACGATAGTGAGCCGAATCTCCTTGTACGAGCATGCAACCAACTTGGTCAATTTTTATCGAACCGTGAGACCAATTTGCGATACCTGGCACTCGAATCTATGTGCCATTTGGCTACTTCAGAATTCTCGCACGAAGCCGTAAAGAAACACCAAGAAGTAGTCATATTATCAATGAAGATGGAGAAGGACGTTTCTGTGAGACAGCAAGCAGTAGACCTATTATATGCCATGTGTGATAAAAGCAATGCCGAAGAGATTGTCCAGGAAATGCTAAATTATTTGGAGACAGCTGATTACTCGATTAGAGAAGAAATGGTCCTTAAAGTAGCGATTCTAGCGGAAAAATATGCGACCGATTATACTTGGTATGTTGATGTTATCCTAAATCTGATTAGGATAGCAGGCGATTATGTATCCGAGGAAGTTTGGTATCGAGTTATTCAAATTGTTATCAATCGAGATGATGTTCAGGGCTATGCTGCGAAAACCGTTTTTGAGGTAAAATATATATATTTTTCCTTTTGTTAAAATTATTCGACATTCTGTATATGTGCTATGTGTTGCAGGCTCTGCAAGCACCCGCTTGTCACGAAAATATGGTTAAAGTCGGTGGTTATATACTTGGAGAATTTGGTAATCTCATAGCTGGTGACCAACGGTCTTCTCCAGCTGTTCAGTTTCAACTACTACATTCCAAAGTAAGTACATATATTTTTATTTTCGGAAATTGTCCATATATATATATATATATATATATTTATACACACACACATATACACACACATCTACATATGTATCTTTTGCAGTATCATTTATGCTCTCCTATGACTCGAGCATTGCTGCTTTCGACGTATATAAAATTTGTCAATCTGTTCCCCGAAATACGAAGTCAGATCCAAGATGTCTTTAGGCAGCATAGTAATTTACGTAGCGCAGACGCTGAGTTGCAACAAAGAGCATCAGAATACCTGCAATTGAGTATTATTGCTTCAACTGATGTCTTGGTATGTAACATGTAACAATTAAAAATGTGAAATTCGTCATTGATGTATCCGTTTCTGTAGGCCACCGTATTGGAAGAAATGCCAGCATTCCCCGAAAGGGAATCCTCCATTCTTGCAGTTTTAAAGAAGAAGAAGCCGGGTCGAGTACCGGAGAACGAAATTAGAGAAAGCAAGAGTCCAGCGCCAAACACTAATCATCACACTGAACCTCCTGCTGCTGCTACAACCGTGACGGTTAACAATTCTTCTGCTGATTT